CTCACTGCTGGAAAAGACTGACTCTCACACTTGTGTAACACACAAAAATATTTCCCACAGCCAAACATGGCTGTCACTTGAATATGCAGATTAATACACCCCTAAAGCAATGCAGACTCTGGCCATGGCACCATCTGCCTCGGCTTTTCCTAATCACCTCAGCCAGATGGGCTAGCAGATCTTTAGGAAGCTTGTTTTCCTGCTCAATAAAAACGTGCCACTGTTTTTTTAATCTAAAACAGGAAAAGCGGTATCATTTTTGCCTTTGAGCAATCCCAGGTGAAAGTACAAGATTGCTGAGCGTTTCAGGTTTAAGAACCTACGCTGCCGACCAAATACCAGAGGGAAATGTCTGTGAAGGGCAAAAAAGGTAATATCGCTGTGGAAGAGGAGAAGAAAAAAATCATATTCAGAGCGGTTCACAGTCTGTTCAGTAGGTAGGGCTGAGTTAATGACCACACACACACACACACAGCTTGACAATTCAATGAGCAGTCTGAATCAGCGGCTCTTTCTCACTAAAATTTGAGCCTCAGCACATCTGCTCCATATGAAGTCTTCATCTTTGGCTTTTTGCCACATCAGGAAAAAACTGCTTGTTTTTTAGCTATGCTGTGCAAATCATTTTATTTCTCTGATGAAAGTCGAAATTAAGGTTCTGCATCGCTACGACCGGTACGAATCAATGAAATGAATCTTTTTAATTTGATTTCTTCTAGACAACTCGGAGGCGTTGGAGCTTCACTGGTGGCAGGATTTGCGGGTTTCAGCCTGTTTATTTGAGATCTCAAACCTCAGCCGACAGCAGCTGGGTTGTTTTTACGTCCCTGCACGGAGACAGGCTATAGGTCGAACATTCCAGAGCTGAGGCCTGAAATCCTGAGAACAGCGCCTGAAGTAAACTAGCTCCGAGACAATGGTGAGAGGTTGAAGGTGAGGAGAGTGGGGCCTTTGCAGCTACTAATATATTCCTGGGAGATTTCTAAAGTGCTCCGACGCCAATTGCCCCACATAATGGTTGCCATGGCAATGGGTCCTCAGATTCAGGGCTGCGGTATAGAAATGAACCGGCAGAACAATGACCTCCCCAACTTCCACCGCGTTACGGAACATTTTTCAGCCTGCTCCTTTTTCCGTTCTATGTCAGAAGGTAAGTAAACTCTCGATTTACCGAAAAGAAAATCCGCTTTTGTCCGTGTTCCGTTTCCGTCTCTGCTGTTCCCATGATCCATGGCTACAGCCCCAAACTTCCTAAAGCTTTTTTTTTTTCAAAGGCATCTTTTCAGCCTACAGTCTTGACAACACAGTAGGAATTTACATGCATCAATAGCTTGGAGGAAAACAACATCCTTAACAGAATCCACAAGTCTGGATCCCCTTGGAAAGGTCATTTACATTTTAGGAAGAGCAAAATAATTGGGAATTTCTATCTATATTTGAAGCAGTTGCTATTTATAAAGCCTTTTTATCAATAATCCTTTAAGCAATTTGAAATTAATTCATTCTAAACTAGTACAAGAGAGAAAGAGAACAAAGGAACGCAGAGAATCCCAGTCTTTTGAAAATCTACACAGCTGGAGACTCGGGGGTTGCCTTAGAAGTGTGCGATGTCACACTGAAAGAGGGAAACGTGGGTAAGCTCTGAGCGCCATACTGCCCACGGGTATGGCTTTGGCACCCAGGCCTTCCTTGGTTTAAGGTTGTGAACAGTGCTGACAGCTGGGGGTGACATCCCACTAATAGACCCCCCGGTCAAAACAGTCAACAAAGGCTAGATGCCACACAGCATCAAATACTGAGAGGACAATAAAGCTCAGGAGTTTGGCTCATACATCAATCAGTAGGAAAAAGGTGACACTCTAAGTAGGTCTGGAAAAAATGTCATTAAAGTGGCATTCCACTGAGGGTTTACTCATCATGGTTAGTACGACTCAGCCAGTCAACAGTTGTTTAATGACCTCTTTGGCTCTAGAGGAGCTTTGTCTGTCTGACGCCTGATGATGTAACAGCAGTGTCATCAGGGTTATCTCACTTTGGCTTGAGACTTCAAATTTAAAACAGGGAGGGTCTAAAGAACTAGTGACAAAGTTCATCAGTGTGTCCTTGCAAAATAGGTGGTGCTAGTTGCTTGGTGAGGTAATGACTACTTGTGAGGCTATTTTGGGAACTACTACTACTATAGCTGGAGAGCTAACCACTAACACTACATTTACACACATACAAAGTAGTAGGTAGTCTCTGGCCTCTCATGAATCTGTAGTTCTGTGGGTGTGATGGTCTGAGCACGTCACATACTCTCTCTGACTGGATGGTTGTATTCCGACGAAGCCCCCGTCAAATCCTAGCTTCAAATCAGCCATCTAGCTTCTAATCAACTAGCTAGCTTCAAATGAAGAACCTAGCTACAAATCAGCTACCTAGTTTCAAATCAACTACATACCTAGGTAGCTTGGTCACTAATCAGACAATAAGTTAGCAAGTTCATTCATACGTATTTGTTCCATTGTCTCCAGTCCCGACTGTTTGCAAACCATGTCTTTTTGGACTCTCCAGCTCTTTAATATGCAGCTTTAAAGTGCACTTGGTAAATCAGCTGACACAATGGGCACTTTTACAGTACACACAAGAGATCTATTGTACAATAATGATAAATAATTAATAACCTCAGAGCTGTGGTTTTGAGGTTTTTTTCCCGATAAACATGGTATCCTTGTATAAATCTTCCTATGGAGCATTACCTCCCATCCCCCCATGAACATACATGGCAGCATAGAAGCACAGTTACCAGAAACAAAAGTCACACATGCACAGACGGAGGATATACAGCCTCTTGACAGCTCTAACTGGAGTGGGAAGACAGGCTATAATGGAATCTAAATAACACTTGTGCCGGCTCATTAAAGTTGCCCTGCGTGCTTGGTCATTAACTCTCCTCTTGTCTGACCTTCATCACTCAATGTGGGGTGGAAATGGTTACCACTGCAGTGTACAGCCTTGTTTCCAACACGCTTAAGAACACCTTACGAAGACAGACTGTGCTGATTTATGCCCTGTGAGAGTGTCACCGCTTTTTATAGGCTGTAAAAATTATTAACCTGCTGAATATCTTCTAAACACTTCAATTCCTCAACGGAAAATATCTCTCATGTAAAAAACGCCTTTGCCTGCAATCCTAACGCTGCTTTTAAAGAAGAAAGTTAAATAAAAATATATATTTTTTACACCTCAAGCAGTACTCATTGGGCATGACTGCCACTGGCTATCAGCCAGTGAGTCAACACTGAACCTGATAGTAGCATCCCACGCCGGTCCAACTCCAAAATTAGCTCAGATTCAATTATTGATGCTGGATAGACATGCTTTCTCTCTCTGTCTTCAGTTGCACAACAAGACTAAGAGTGAATAGCCATTTGAGCGCCTCTGTGGGGCTGTAAGACACAATTGTGCTTATTATAAATAATGTCTGTATGCTAACATGCTTCCAATGATAATGCTAACTGTAATGTGGTAAATGTGCATTGTTTTCATGTTAACATACACATTTATTAATTAGCAATAAATATAAAGCACAGCTGAGGCTGATGGGTCATTAGTTTTGCAGATTTGAGTCACAAACCAAAATACTGGACTAATAAAACCTGACCTGATGATGGTGCATGACAAAAAGTCAGTGGTTCACCAAAATTATTAAAATTCATCATGTGGGCACCATGAATGTCTGTACCATATTCCATGTCAATTCATCTAATAGTTGAGATATTTTAGTCAGGACCAAAGTGGTGGACAGACTGACCAACACTGCTATCCCTAGAGCCACACTGCCAGCGTGGCTAAAACCAAATGGAAAAGAAGAAAAAGAAAATGGACACTGGCACCACAAAACCATCCCTAACCATAACATTTTTCTCTGTGCTGATGCTAAAAAAATATAAGTTGCCAGTGAAGGCTGCACCAGCTCACAGTGTACTTCTATGCACAGCCTACAACTATGTGAATATAGGAATGCTTTGAGGGACTGGACAACTATTCTTTCATTCACATATAAAATAATTACAATCAATTCTGATCATTCTGCCTCCAGCTTTTTTATTGATTTTGTAGGTAAGGCAACTATCCAATTAAAGTTTAGTCAATAGACTAAGAAAAAAGAAAACTTCCTGCACGTTCAACTGCAAGAATGTGCTTTCACACTCAATCAGTGTAATCCGCAAAATATCATTTATTAAAGATGCAGTAGGTCACGTAAAAATATGTTTTTGTCATATTTGCTGAAACTTTCACTATATCCTGACAGTAGTACATGAGACAGGTAGTATGGGAATTGTTTAGGTTCCTTTGACTCATCTTAGTGCTCCGACACTAATTAGAGCCAAGAAAGATATCATTCCCAGGTTGTCAAATACCGATTGATTGTTTTTATTCAGGCCCGGTAGATTCTTTAAATTTTATTAGGAACACTATATGGACTATATAGAGGAACCTGATTGTTTCACACACTATCTGTCTCATGTACTACAGCTAGGATATACTAAATGTTTCAGCAAATATGACAAAAAGTTATTTTTTATAATGTTACCTACAGCAGCGTTAAGCAAAAGGTTCCAGCTTCTCAAATATGAAGATTCGCTGTATTTCTCTGTTTTACAATATAGTAAATGTTTTACTATTTTGGAACATTTTATGGATGAAATGCTTAATTAATTTATTGAAAAAATACTTAATAACCAATAGATTTATCCATTCTAAAAAAAAACATATTCTCTCAGGTATGAAACTACAGCAGACCCCCACCTCTGTGCAGCGTAACTACCTTCAGGCAACTACTCATACTGTATCACTGCAATGCTAAATACAAGACTGACATGCCAAATCCAGACTCCCCTGCAGGGATATTAACTCAGAACATGCATCTGTCAGAGGAGCTAGTCCGTCCGTATGAAGACCGCATACGACTGTCTGATCATGCAGATTAAAAAGGTCAAACTGGGACTGTAACTTGCCTCTTTTCAGTGTTTTTTTATTCGCCTGTGGTGTCTACTAAAAAGTCCTGTCTTGTCCTTAGTGTGACAGCAGTCCTGGGACGAGCTGGCAGGCTCGACATTCCTCCGCCCTCTGGTAGGACCTGCAGTGTATTAAAATAAATCTGTGCACACGTCCCACCCCAACATGCTCGCTAGACATGACCTTATACAAGGCTAGCACCAGCACGTTCTTCTGTCTGCTGCCCTGTGAGCAGATTTTAGCTGCCCTGCTGCCCCTGGCCTTAACCCCACCCGCCTCACTCAGCCCGCAGCCCCCACTGCTTTTGGCCCCCACCTCTCATGTGTTTCTGTGTACATGATCTCACATGACTCAACAAAACCCTGGGCTCGGAGCAGGGCTGTCCAGAGCTTTTTCCCAAGAGGGGAGGAGAAGATTGACTTTGTCAAAGGGACCTGGAGCGCTGCCCTCGACTTGGCTCAAATTGCCCCACTTGTCAGACCTGATGGATTTTGGCTAAAAATAAAAGCAAAAAGGGGCCCTTGACAGGCGGATGAATGAACTCAGTGGTGCTCCTCCTGCTAACCGAGCCGCCACATCGTGCAGCCGTCTCCGTGTCCCTTGACGCCTGAAAGACGGGGATGGCGTGCACAGCCCTAAAAGCACTGTGTTTCACAAACAAAACATCCCCTTTTCCATGTGCGTTGGGGGAAATTCGGCGAAGGGGTAGAGCAAACGCAAGATGAGCCAAGTGAGTAGGAATTCCTGCGCTGCCCCCCCCCCTTTACCCCGCCCCACGCACATTCCCCTACCACATTCATAGCAGAAAAAAAAATCTGAGCAAAACAGAGCAGCAGCAGCAGCAGCAGGCTGGAAGGGAGGATCATAACCCAACCCAAACAAATACAGCAGCAGACAAGTCTGTGGGGTTCTCCCTCAAGGAGATTAAGTCTTGTCCGGATCACTCTAAACAAAAAAAAGCCACTTTACAAATGTTTGTTTGAATGGTACAGTAGGTCATTTGGCAACTTTTTATCTGTTCTTATGTTTGAACCCTATAGGCTTATAAAACCCTATAGACCCACTTAATTACAACCAGTAGTTCCTGTTTGCTAAGTGAGCACGGAAAAGAGTAGTTGTTATTTTTATTTATTACTTAAACGCTACATTCCACTGTTGTTGTTTTTTATATTCAAATGTTTTAAATAGAGGATTATACGTTCAAGTAGATGGGATTTGTTGTTTTGTCTTTGCTTTTTACCGTGGTATGAAATTGAGGGTTGAGAATCGTGGAATTTCTCTGGTATTGTGACATCCCTATTCCAGCAGTATGTCTATGGTGCCGCTAAGAAGAATGGGATGATGTACAAGGGCTCAGTATGCTTTAAAATAATGTTTGTCAGACTGTCCAACAGTGTCTGAAACACCTTCCTCCACACCTTTCTGATGTTGGACTTAGGGGGGGCTGCGTCTGTCAGAGTTTGGTGACTTTCCAAACTGGCAACCCAACAATCATCCACTGGCCAGGTCTTTTTTAACTCTCCTGCAACTACTTTTTCTGGGTGTACAACCCAACGCAACCTTGTGAACGCCTCTGAGGAGAGACTGTCTGAAAGTGTGTGAATTGACCCTGATTCCTTACATCTCGACCCTGTCTATGATGGCTGGCTTTTCACCTCAGTCAGAAAACACTGCGGTCTTAGAGGTGTTCTGATGACACTTTGTATAATCCCATCCAAAATCTAAATCACGCTCATGGGACACTACAGGTTTGCAGAGGGACCCGTGTGCAAGGCTCCTTTAAATGTTCCTATACTGTTTGCCATATGTGCGGCTCGTACGAGGTCCACACGGGTGTTCCAGAATGCCATCTGGATCCTATCAGAGACCACAAATACAGATGTAGTGAAAGCGCTTGGTAGCAGTGCAGACCGCCTAGCCTAATGAATGGGAAGAGCACATTTTCAACCCCTGCAACAGGTCAGTGGCAGGCGTGGGCTTCACCTCGCCTCACACACGCACGGAGCAGAAGGCAAGATCAATTGTCGGAGAGAGGTTCCGCCTTGCACGCTACCCGAGAGTGTCCCAAAATATCCCTCCTCGCCGAACAAAAGAACAAAATGGCAAGAGGTGATACGTGATACAGCAGAGTTAAAAATAGACTCACTGCTGACGGATAGGGCAGTGTTTCATGACCTCTGCATAGCGCTCTTGGTTTACACCCCAAGTAGCTGTGGCTAAGACTTCTATGGCTCAGCTCAGGATTGGAAGAAAAAAAAAATTGCACCATTTATATATGCAGAAATAGGATCAGGAAGCCTCACTTCTATTAGGATTTTATGTAGCTTGGAACTTGAGAACAGAGCGAATCAAAAGTTCTCACGCATGTCAAAGCAAAAGAACGTCCTGTTTAGGGGATTCAAAGGGTCTCATGGTATGTGAAGCATAAATGATCTGCCTGAGAAGACAGAGAAGTCCACCTTTTCAGGGGGAGGGATATTTCTTTTGTTTTGATGTCACCGCACATGGCATACTACATAGAGGATCATCAAAACATTACATCATGCAGGAAAAATCCATGAGAGAGGCTGCGAGCTGTTCGAACTGTGGTTTGCTGCACATCAATCAAAGCTCAGTGAGAAAAGAGAGGAATTAGGGGGAGAGAGGTCCTGAAAGCCACTTGTTTTCTTGCAAAGTGTTAACAGGCCGCATCAATTCAGAGGATCAGACGTCTGAATCAGGCTCTGGAGGTGGTCTTTGCTCCAGGTCAGGCTAAAAATGAAAAATGCCTCACTGAGGAAGGAAAACAAGGTGTTGCTTCTGATCTAAGAACTTATAACACCGTCTTTTTTCTTCTCTTCCAAACGTGTAAACAGGCACATTTGTGACTGAAGGACAGCATGTATTCATACTAAATTGATTGATTCAAAGACATTCCAGAGGTATAATGGGAATCATTTCTCCCACTCTGTGTCATAAGTGCATGCAACATGCCTCAGAGTGACAGGAACAATGGTCTCTTTCACTGCCTTTCGCCAGGCTGGAGATGGGGAGGTGCATCATGGGAAGCAGACAGGCAGACAGTCTCGTACAGTTGAGCGCGGATACTTCTGAGAGGCCTCGCACAAACCCGGGCAACAAGCAGAGGCACTTAAACTCTCCAGATATGGGCCATGTGTGAATTATGTGCTTGGATTACTCCTGCTTTGTAAAACACACGCTGCTCAGCCTGCATCAGAGGGCGGGCAGTTCCCAGACATCTCACAACTCCTGATTTTATGTAAGAAAATATAAAGTGTGATTTTTTACATATATTTTTTTACATGTTCTGCCTTATTTTTTCTAAGATAATGTCACATATTTCAGGACAAGATGAATGAACTCAAAAAACCTGTAGAAATTTAACTTAAGTCAGTGCCTTTAGAAAAATATCCTTAAAGAAATAATGATTTTGAAACTCTAGAATCCCTTGAAGTCTGTATTCTATTGCACAAAAAAATTATTAAATAAGTAAATAAGTATAGATTTTCCTGACAAACTAAATGAAAATGTGTCGAGAATGCTGTTAGAAAACCCCTTGGACACTTGGGATACTAATATAATGTTCCTGAAACGGGACAGTAACTTTTATTTATTACATTTACTTTTTCTTTTGGCATATTCGTCCCCTCCTTTTTCTCCAGTTTTTGCCTGACATCATTTTAATAACCACACTAGATTCAACTGACAGGAGCAGGAGACATTTCGTACATGCATTTTTGGTATTTCCTAAACCTCTAGGTAGAGTAATAAGAAATACTGCACAACAAGACACTAAACTAAAATGCTTATTTAACCCTGCAAAGATGTTCCAATTCTCTAATTATTTAAAGTCATACGGTGCAAGATTTTCTTGAAAACAATGTATAGACTCATACAAATAATCCCTCTCTTCTGACCCACTAGCAGTGTGTGGCGGTGTCTGTATCTGCAGAGACCCTGCAGCCTTCTGTCTGTATTTTCTTATTTTGCTGTGTTCTCACTAACATCGCTCCATCTCCTCATTTGAATGGTGCATTTACAGCAATTGATTCTCACTAGCCTTTACGCTCATGCTATTTTAACACAAGAGCTGTGTTCATCTGGCATTATAAATGGGGGGGGGGGAGACTAACATTTGCTGGCGCTCTTTCGTGGATCCAGATGTGGCTCACATCAAAAGGTAGTCCTGTGACCTCAGCACTCTGGGGTAAGGAGTCATGGACTTGCCTGGTTGCTGTTGAGATATTACTAGTAGTAAGTGCTCACCCAGACATATATCACATTAGAGGGAAAATAAATCATCATTACATTTCTTTTTGGTAATTACAATGTTACCAAAGAAGTTCACAAGTAAACACAAACACCGAAGAGATATATAGTGATCTCTCAGCAAAAGTGAATTAGGATTCCAGCTGGACTTTCAGAGATATGTATTAGTGGGAGGTCCAGAGCAGCATGCCACAGCCAGCAGAAGTAAAAGTATCCACGCTGAGCTGGTCTCAGGGCGCGACACGCAGATGCCAGCGCTCCACGTGGTCGGGGGCTAAGCAGTCTGACAACTTGTAGTCCTACTACAGCAGCTTTAACTCCACTACGCACACTAAGCCACCAACTCTGGCTATGAGACTAACAGCTCCAGGACAAAGCAGGCCTTTGTGTTTGCTGGTAGATTATTAAGACCTCAGAGATAAGAGTTCTGACTTTACACACACGTGCCTTAAAGAGATTTGTAGGCAGCACGTCACTTTAGAGTTATAGTTTCCGTTTTCACTAGCACATAGTGGGATTTTCTTGATGTATTAATAGAGGCAAAGGGTTAAAAATGAGAGTTTCCTTTTTTTATTTTGTGAGTTAATTGCTGGAGTTGTTAATGGTTATGAGGCTTGTTAAAGATTCACACCGGCATAGGAGAGAACCAAAGGCACAGTTGGATTAATTATCATTGAATATTAAGTATTCTAGCACCTGCAAAGGAAGTCAGAGAAGGAAGCTTTATTTCCTTTGCAACACTTAGTTATAAATGGAAATGCACACTTTGTTAAAAATGTATTAGTTTCGAGCCGTGCGGTTCTCTCTTGTTGTTTGAGAACACGCAGTGATATTATGAGCCTTCCAGCGCCTTCCAATTGTCTGTTTTAATGGAGAATTTTAGCTTTTAAACTTTAAAAGTTAAATTTTTTACCTCAAATAGAAGAAAAGAGTGTTA